AAATGTGAAAATTTCAAAAACATTTCCACGGGCGGTTCTTTGAAAATGAAAATGAAGGGAAAATAAAGTCAACCAAACCATATAGGGTTAGTTTGTACTGTTTTTTTAACCATAGTTAGCAAATTTTAACTCCTGTTTTGTCATGTTTTTGAGCGGGATAATTTCATTTTCAAATTTCGAAATATTTGGATTTGGACCTTAATGCATGGACTGGATCATTTAGTGGGTCTTGGGCCAAGGGCTGTGGTAATGTTGTATGGACAGTATGTTGAACTTAGCTAGAGTTAACTGGTAAGTAATGTTTGGATTAGTGTGCGACTGTGACTGTGAGTTCATCATTTATCTTTTTATTTTTTTGGGTAGCAGAGTTCATCATTTATCAAGCATAGCTTATAGCAAACTTATGATATTGAAATGCTGCAATTAACCTGGTGATGGAGAAGTAAACAATGGGTTTGAGAGTAGAATCACCTTCTCAACCTTGGGTTCAACTGGAAGAGTGGGTTCAGAATGCTATACACAAATGAATGCTCGTAAACATGTACACTTGCACACATGCAACTCGAGTGAATTGCGAAAGACATTCCAATTGTAGTGAACAAGGTCCATGCGCACAGGAACATGGATTTAGATTATAAGTCTATCAATGTACTCTTTTAGCACTGTTCTGCTGCCTCCACACTTCTACTCTTTTAGTAACTATGTTCAAGAATAAGCAGACTACAATCAGATATACATTCTATACATTTTTGTATATAGTGTGGAGGAATGAAATTAAGTTGATGATTAATCTGACCACAATGAGATACACTAGCTGTTGCATTCGCTCCACCAAAAGCTGACAGAAAAGCTTGTTGTAAGAGATCTAACATAATGCCACCATTTCGGTGGGATGTAAAGCATTTGTCCTTCATCTAGAACGCAGTCCATAAACTCCAGGTCTTTAGCTTTTGGAAACTGTTTCACATCTAGATTGTCGAGATCCACCTGTATACAAAGATACACCAGAACATCTTAATAACAGGGTGATTCAATATTCAAGTCCAAATAAACATAAATTTGTCCAAAACCTAAGGTTCTAAGTCATCAACATGAGTCAATGCTCACTGACAACATTCTATGCACTGACACAATCGGATAGTAAGCCTATGTCAATATGTTGCCTGAGGACAAGCAAGGTGTTGGACTTCCCAAGTCAGTACAGTCGGTCTGTCGGTGATCGGGGCTCCTTTAACTTACCTGCAGCTATTGACAAATAATTCACGCCTTGGGCACCTTAATGGGATTTTGATAAATTGAAGCCTTGGCAGTGCCTTTGGCAACATAGATTATGCTTAAAGTGCATAATGCTTACAAAATCCATCCATGTTTACACATCTATTTGATAAACCAACTTCTAAGCTGAGAAGCCTTCTACATGGAACCCACCTGACTTGAATTGCACAGCATGGTTTCAGTGAAAGGGTAAAGATCTTCTGATATTGATGCAGGATAGAGCCTTATGTACTTTCTTCCAACAACCTAAAAGGCATACAAACACAGAAATTCTACAAAGTCAAAATGGTTATCAAAATGTAGCCTTACTACAACCAAGTCATTTAAGAAAATGTATGAGTCTCTCCTTTAAATTGTATCTAAAACATATGTTTAGCACAATATCCAAAAGGAAATGAAGTAAAATATTTTGAGTGCATAACAACGAGGCACAAGTCAAATGTAGATGAGATGGCTCTGCAGGTGTGAGTGTGTGACTGACACCAACCATACTTTCTATCATACAGAACATCAATTTAACAGAACTTCCACAATGCATAAATTATACCAAAAATTGTTTACACCACTAAGCAAATGAGATTAATACCATCCTGTTATTGGAGCCCATGGTTTCATAACAAATCCATTGTGAATTGTGCATTCACGGATGAAGGTCCTGGTTAATGCAAAGGGTTTAGAATGCCTTGTCAACAGGTATTCACAGTCCATGGAAACCTTTTTGCTTACAAATTTAAGACACTAATTTACATAGTCATGTTTTCAATGGCAATTGCTGGACTGCCATTGTGGCTGGTCCAGGCACACTTGCACATAATTTAGACCTTGTTGAGTCATCTAAAGAAATGCCAACAAAAAGGTAAAGCCTAACTGATGGTGCTATACTAATCTAATATATTAGAATTATAGTAACTCAATTACCTGGGCAAGTATATTATGGTGTGGATCATGGTGCAATGGTGTTACAGTCCCAGCTGGACCAAACCAAGCATTGAGAGAACGAAGCTCCCCTCCACCAACAAAACAGTAGTCAGGAACCAAAATATCCTTGCGTAGTTCTTGTATCTGCCAAGAAATTATAGCATCCTTAACTCCATACCATCATAAAAAGAAGGTGTGTACTACAAGTCTACAACGTACCTGCTCAAACAAAGGATGCTGAGCAAGATAGGTTGGACCAGGTGGACTACATTCATTGGACTGAACCCTATCAAGAAACTGAGAAAACGTGATCATCTCTTGCTTCCAATCTTGGCACAAATAATTCTTTCCAACCTGAGGCAAATGGTAATTGCTGTAAGGATTCAGTGGCAGGAAACATCAAACAATAATGAATCTTAACAGCTAACACCACATATGCATCAGAATAGGCAGTATATCCAGAATGATATGGATGAGACAATGTCAAGAACATAAGAATATAAGATATTGACTCGTATAACTCTATGAATAAGTCCAAGGGGAAGTCAAATGAATCAGGATTCTGAATAATCGTCACACTTTTTAAACGAAATATCTACACACACACATAACGAAATTTAATATAACAAGAAGTCGGAGAAAGGAATCACCTCAACTGGAACTGTGCGGTCACCTGCAACCGTTTTCAAATAATTTATGTCTTTCCACTTCTTACTGGCAGGCCAATGAGACATACCATCGCTAATTATAACTGGGGTGCTCGATAGGAAATAATCACATAGGAAACCCTCTAAAGATAGTGATGACTTCTCTTCTACTGTCTTACACGACAATGACCTATTCGGCAGTACTTTTAGCATCTACATACAAAACAATAGAACATTAATTCAATTACTTTAACAGACATTCAGTAGATTCAAACTCAAATCAATATGAACAAAATGTATACATAGCTTTAGCTTTTAATGTAGTAATAATATTTTTAATGTGATTAAATAAGTTGAAATAAACACTAAAAACAGAGAGAATCACAAACCTCACCTCGGCCACATTGGAAGAACACTTAAATAAACCAACACTAGTTTCATTCTTCTTCTTTTCTTCTACCTCGAGATACTCATCACCACATCCATTAGAAATCCTCGATTTCATCAACGAAATCAAATTAATTGCAGAATCTAAGTCCTGACGAAGAAGATTACCACCCATAATTAGTCCCATATCAAGAACCTTAAGAGCTTGTTTGAAATCTCCATTACGGTATTGAAAAGATGCCACGTGGAGACAAGACATAGCATAAGCATCTCTCCAAATTGGTAAAACAGAGTGCCAAGGACCAGAGTGAAGTTGCTCCCAAGCCATTTCAAGACCTGCTTCGGCGGAACTTATGTCGTTAGTTTCAGTAGCTCGTGTATCCATGCTGACATAAGCATATCCACCTTCGTTTGTGATTTTCTCGAGGATATTTGATCTAACGGTGTCTAAGATCGGTGTCGGAAGGTAGTTTGAGGTGGATTTCGCGGCCATTTGCGGTGGCAATTTGCTACGTCTGGCAAGAAAGAGTAACCAAAAAAAGTGAGACTCCCCGGTGTTTTGGAATAAACAGAACCGAAACCGAACAGGTTGTTTTGCAAAACCGATCCGAACCGAACTGATCAGAATATGATGAAGCCGAAACAGAACTGAACATGTAATTAAATTCGGTTAACCGAAACAAAACCAAACCGAACATATTTTTACAGTTTCATATTTTCACGATTATACCAAACAATACACAAAGAATGGAAAGAAGTATTCAGGGGAGGAGAGAGAATATATATGAAGAATAGTTAAGAATTGAAGTTGGAGATGAATTACTAACCCATTCAATTGGATTGTTAAGAATTGAAGTTGGAGATGAATTACTAACCCATTCCATACTGAAATCATACAAGGTAACATGAGATGATCAAAATTTCTTCAATGAATGAATCGATTCTGTGTAAAACAGTAAGATTTAAGTACTTTGGTGCTTTCTTGATCTAAATTGGGTAACAATTTTATGTTTGGAGACATTTTTTTGCTGAAGAACTAAAACCTAAAAACTAGCATGTGAAGATAGAAGGAGAGAGTGAGTGAAGAGAGACGAGAAGAACTGAAGAAGTATTATTTATTTATTTCATCACTATGAACACTGAAGGTTACTAAACTATTGAAGTACTAATTACTCTAAAGACTAAAGAGGAACATGTTCGGTTCGGTTTTGGGTGTTTGAAAATTTTCAAAACCGAACACCTTAAAAGTGTTTTTGTAAAAAAGTCAAACCGCAAACACATAAACATTTTTTAAAAAATGTTCGGTTCGGTTGTGTTCGGTTTTGGTTCGGTTCTGTCCAGCCCTATCTTTCTCTGCGGAAGATAAAAAAGGGCTTTTGCGCTTTTTTGTCACATCATTAAAATATCTAACAGATATCTTTCAAGGGCTCAAATGTAATTGCACCTCTCCCAATTATTGTCCAGAATGATGGGCTGATGGCTAAGCTTAGGCCTTAAAAAATGGCCCTTTAACCCTAACCCGATCCTAGCCCGTCTGGCTCATAGGGTGCAAAAAACTCTTAAAAATGAACCCTAACAGATTTGAGTTTTAGGAGCGGGTCAGGTTTATAATAAGAAAAACAAAGCCCGGCCCTAAGCTAGACCTTGATTTGGCTTTTTAGAACCCTCACCCAACCCTTTTAAAAAAATTAATATTTGTAATTATATTAAATACCCTTAGGGTTTGGTATATACTACTAAGCTACCCGGCCCATTTACAGGCCAAGCCAAGCCAATTATTGCAGGGAGTCGAACCCAAGTCGTCTATTACTTGGAAGGCAATTATCCTAACCGTTGGACTACAAAAACTCACTATCTCAAAATGATATTAATTAAACAAACTGTTATACTATGGATGAAATATATAACATTACTTTTAACATAGGCTGCTGCTATTGCCAAGGGGGTTTTTTATATTGCCAAGGAGTTTTTTTATATTGCCAAGGATGTTTTTTCTATTGCCAAGGGTAACATAACTTAAATTTTATCTTGAAAATAACAAACTCTTGGCAATATAAAAAACCCCCTTGGCAATAGCAGCACCCTTAACATATTTCTCTCGTATTTTATTTTTACTTTATATTTATA